TTTTTTTTTTTTTTTTTTTTTGGCACTGGGTTTGATTCCAGACTTTGTGAGCCCTCATGGTTCAGTTCTCCTTGGAGATCTCATTGGCGGCTAAAAATGGCTCACTTTGGCTGAACTTGCCCTGAGTGGAAGGCTTGCTTAGAATTTGGGCACTCACTCTTTTTGTTGGCCTGGTTAGGGAAGCTGGTCTGCACTTTGCTGATGGGACAGTGCTTAGGCAGCCAGCATAATGATGCACATCTAGTACTTTGTGACAACACAAAGCAGATATTTTATTGGTTTAGACATGAACTTACTTCCTTAAGTCCCAGAAGATTTAGTAGCAATTAAATGCATGCCCCTTTGCATATAACCATTCTTTTGAAGGAAAACAAAAACAAAAACCAACAATGCGTGTTAAGGGGACCAATTAATTGGACATGGTTGGTTGGGTGGCTGTAAAAATGTGAGGCTGTTCGGAAGGCTTCTTACTGACATCACGCGTTTGTGTTTAACGGAGTATTTATGGGCTCTTTTTCCTCCTATATTGAAGGGTTATATAATCCCCCAGCTATTAACCTTTAAAGTGCTGTTTTTACAAATTCAGTACCTAGACTAGATAGCAATAAAGAGTGATGTTGAGTCAGTCTGACTTCAAAGGGAGTGATGCATGGAACAGCTGGATTTGGAAAGGTGCACTTCTTCCTGCCTGCTAGCCTTGTAGTGGCTGATCTTTCCCTTTGAAAGGAAACAGGTTTACTAGCCGGAGACTATTCCCTGCAGTGACTATAAAGAGGTATCTTCGTCTCTTAAGGCAGGGAGCAATTGAGAGCATAGGCATGAGCCATATGAGTGTGTGCTCAAAGACCTGAGGAAATGCAGGATTGACAGTCCATTACGGGGAAGGCAGAAACCTCTTTCCTTTTCCTTCTCTAATTAGGCATCAGCATGCATTTTCTCTCACCATTCTTTGTTCTTGCCTATCTGATTCAGGCAGTTCATCTGGCGTAGCTTTGAAGCCAAGGAATGTTTTTATGCATATTGCGGAAGAAGGGGAATAAGATAAACTCAGGTCAGGACTTCCTTTACTACTGTCAGTTTCAGAATATGGCTTGCCAGATCCAAGTCTCCATCTCTCAAGTCTCTCTGCTTTGCCGTGATCCAGGTTGAGCACCGTTTCACAGTCCCACAAGCTGAACATGACTGTCCCCATTGCTGCTTTGGCATACATTTTCCCCAGACTGCTGTACTTGGGCCCTGAATCTCTTCAGGCTCTCGTCTTTTAAAAAACAAATTTGCAAAATGAGTTTCTCAACTTGTTTGGAAGTAGAGAATTTATACAAAGTCTTTTTTTTTTCTTCTTTTTTTTGAGACGGAGTTTTGCTCTTGTTGCTCAGGCTAGAGTGCAATGGCTCCATCTTGGCTCACCACCACCTCCACCTCCCGGATTCAAGCAATTCTCCTGCCTCTTCCTCCTGAGTAGCTCGGATTATAGGTGCCCGCCACCACGCCTGGCTAATTTTGTATTTTTAGTAGAGACGGGGTTTCTCCATGTTGGTCAGGCTGGTCTCGAACTTCCGACCTTAGGAGATTCACCCACCTCAGCCTCCCAAAGTGCTGGGATTACAGGCATGAGCCACCACACCCAGCCTATACCAAGTCTTTATCCAAAAGTTTTCATTTTCCTATTGAGGATGGCGTGGTTAATCCTCTCACGAGTATGGCCAATAAATAAAAGCACCTTTGAACTCCTCATTATTTTTATTTTATTACAACTAAATTGTCATTTGTATCATGACTTAATGCTTACAGAGCTCTTCTGTTGTTTTATTTGCCGTAAAAATATTTTGCGTAAGGAATTATTATCACCCACGTTATAGTTGCAGAAACTGAAGCCTAGGGACAGGATGCCTCAAATCACACTGACAGTAAGTGGCAAACCAATGTTCTATTTTTAAGCATATGATTTTCCACATTATGCTTTCCTTGTAGATTCTACCCTACATTTTCTTTCTTTCTTTTTTTTTTGAAATGGAGTCTCACTCTGCTGCCCAGGCTGGAGTGCAGTGGCATGATCTTGGCTCACTGCAACCTCTGTCTCCTGGGTTCAAGAGATTCTCCTGCCTCAGTCTTCCC